TAGTTTGGCTGGATATGAAATTCTGGGTTGAAAATTCTTTTCTTTCAGAGTGTTGAATATTGGCCCCCACTCTCTTCTGACTTGGAGAGTTTCTGCTGAGAGATCTGCTGTTAGTCTGATGGGCTTCCCTTTGTGGGTAACCTGACCTTTCTCTCTGGCTGCCCTTAACATTTTTTTCCTTCATTTCAACTTTGGTGAATCTGACAATTATGCGTCTTGGAGTTGCTCTTCTCAAAGAGTATCTTTGTGGCATTCTCTATATTTCCTGAATTTGAATGTTGGCCTGCCTTGCTAGGTTGGGGAAGTTCTCCTGGATAATATCCTGCAGAGTGTTTTCCAACTTCGTTCCATTCTCCCCATCACTTTCAGGCACAGGAATCAGACGTAGATTTGGTCTTTTCTTGTAGTTCCATATTTCTTGGAGACTTTGGTCATTTCTTTTTACTCTTTTTTCTCTAAACTTCTCTTCTCGCTTCATTTCATTCATTGGATCTTCAATCACTGATAATCTTTTTTCCAGTTGATCGAGTTAGTTTTCCTCCTAACTGTCAGGATCCTTAGCTGCAGGTCTGTTGGAGTTTGCTTGATATCCACTCCAGACCCTGTTTGCCTGGGTATCAGCAGTGGAGGCTGCAGAAGATAGAATATTGCTGAACAGTAAGTGTTGCTGTCTGATTCTTGCTCTGGAAGCTTTGTCTCAGAGGTGTACCTGGCTGTGGGAGGTTTGAGGTGTCAGTCTGCACCTAGTGGGGGATGTCTCCCAGTTAGGCTTCTCAGGGGTCAGGGACCCACTTGAGCAGGCAGTCTGTCTGTTCTCAGATCTCAACCTCTGTGCTGGGAGATCCACTGCTCTCTTCAAAGTTGTCAGACAGGGACATTTACATCTGCAGAGGTTTCTGCTGCTTTTTGTTTAGCTATGCCCTGTCCCCAGAGGTGGAGTCTACAGAGGCAGGCAGGCCTCCTTGAGCTGCGGTGGGCTCCACCCAGTTCAAGCTTCCTGGCAGCTTTGTTTACCTACTTAAGCCTCAGCAATGGCAGGCCCCTCTCCCCCAGCCTCACTGCTGCCTTGTAGTTAGATCTCAGACTGCTGTGCTAGCAATGAGGGAGGCTCCATGGGCATGGGACCCTCTGGGCTAGACGTAGGATATAATCTCCTGGTGTGCAGTTTGCTAAGACCCTTGGTAAAGTGCAGTATTAGGGTGGTAGTTACCTGATTTTCCAGGTGTTTTGTGTCTCAGTTTCCCTTGGCTCGGAAAAGGAATTCCCTTCCTCCTTGTCCTTTCCAGGTGAGGTGATGCCTCACCCTGCTTCAGCTCTCGCTGGTTGGGCTACACCCACTGACCAGCACCGACTGTCTGACACACCCCAGTAAGATGAAACCGGTACCTCAGCTGAAAATGCAGAAATCACCAGTCTTCTGTTTCACTCACACTGGGAGTTGGAGGCTGGAGCTGTTCCTCTTTGGCCATCTTGGGCACCCCCTCTGCATCATTTCATGTTTCTTATATTGTTTTTCAATTTTCCTTTTCATTTTCTCATTGAGTCATTGGTTATCCAGGGCTGTTACACTCAATTTTTCCACATTTTCAGTTTTCTGAAAAATTTCCTGTGATTGATTTCTAGTTTTATATCATTGTGGTAAGAAAAGATAATTGATATGATTTCAGTCTTCTAAAATTTGTTAAGACTTATTTCGTGGCCTAAAATATGACCTGCAGTCATACCTTGGAGATACTGCAGGTTCAGTTCTAGACCACCACAATAACGCAAATATCACAATAAAGCAAGTTACACATTTTTTGTTTCATGGTACATATGAAAGTTATGTTTAAGGTCTAATATCCAGTGTCTATAAGGAACTTAAACACATTTACAAAACAACAACAACAACAACAACAACAACAACAAATAACCCCATTAAAAAGTGGGAAAAAGACATGAATGGACACTTTTCCAAAGAAGACATACATGTGGCCAACAATCATATTAAAAAACTTAACATCACTGATCATTAGAGAAATGCAAATGGAAATCATGAGATGCCATCTCACACCAGTCAGAATGGCTATTACTAAAAAGACCCAAAATAACCGATGCTGGCAAAGTTGCAGAGGAAAAGGAACACTTATACACAATTGGTGGTTGTGTAATTTAGTTCAACCATTGTGGAAGACAGTATGATGATTCATCAAAGACCTAAAAACAGAAATAGCATTCAGTGCAGCAATCCTGTTACTGGGTATATACCCAAAGGAATAGATACCATTCTCCTATGAAGACATGTGCACATGTATGTGCCTGTTTGGTGCTCACTATGCTGTGCCTGAGTGGGTACCTAAGGTGTAAGACAAAGTTCCCTTTACTTTTTCCTCTGTTTTTCTCAAGCGGAGGGAGTTTCTTACCATAGCCACCACAGTTGGAAATGTGCTGGGTCTCACCTGAAGCCAGCATATCTCAGAGTCTCACCCGATGCCCATAGCATACCACCTAGATCTTGCTGCTGATTATTCAAGGCCTAAGGGCTCTTTAGTCAGCAGGTGATAGATCTTGCCAGGACTGGATTCTTCCCTTGAAGGTGGCAATTTCCCTTTTGGCCCAGGATGTGTCTAGAAATGTCATCCAGGAGCTAGGGCCTGGAACGGAGGCCTCAAAATTCTCCCCAGTGCCTTATCCTACTGTGGCTGAGCTGGTATCCAAGATACAAGATGAAATCCTCTTTATTCATCTCTCTCTTCTCCTCAAGAGGAAGGAAGGGGACTTTTTTGGAGCTGTAAGTTGCACTACCTGGGGTTGGAGGAGGGTTGGCACAGCACTCCTTTAGCTGTCCTGGCTTGTATCTCAGTAGATGCCCCCTAAGTCCACTGGCTCTGAATCCAGCTCAGCAGTAGGACTTGCCTAGGAGTTGCAGTCCTTGTGGCCTATATTTCCTTTCAAGTTAAGTTCCAGGGAACTTTAGCCCATGGTGGTGAGGCTTACCAGAACTCAAGTTCTAACAGCAGAAATATGCAGTTCCCTTTTGGCCTCTCTCCATAGGTGGGCATCAGCTGAGTTTAGCTTGATTTTTCTTTCTGCCATGACAGGGTAGCACTGAGTTCAATGCAAAGTTTCACAATCACTGCACTATTTCTCTCAAAAAGCACAAATAATTTCTCTCTGCACCATGCGGACACTGCTGAGCAATGAGGGAGGCAGGGCATTAGCAATTCAAGACTGTCTTTTCTACCCTATTCAGTGCCTCTTTCAACAATATGAAGCTAAAACCAGATACTGTGAGTGTTCAGCAGATTTTTGGTTCCTATTAAGGTGCTTTTTCATGTACAGATAGTTTTAAATTTGTTGTTCCTGCAAGGGGGATAATTGGTGTAACCTTCTATTTGACCATCTTGCTCCACCACTCTGGGTATCCAGGATAGCACTTTTATTAGCTACAGGAATCCTCACTATGTGGACTGTAGTGGGGCTCTGTGTCATGACCCTGTGACTATTAAATGATCATAAACATCTAATGGAGAGCCCCTCAATCTCTTCCTTGAGACCTTATTGTTGAGCAACTAGAGCCATAGATGTATTTGAGAAGGGACTTAAACAGATGGTCCAGGAGTGAGTGCCCAGTTACATTTTTACATCACTCTAACTGCTAATGAAATATTGGTATCTTGGCAGTAGGTTCCTTTGTCTTGCATGGAAATTTTTCAGTTAAGATCTGGATTGTGCTGCTAACTATTTCACATCATCATGTTCAATTGAGCTAGATAACCAATGAGAGTAGCACAAATGAACCTAGGTCTGAGTTTGGTAAATGGTGTTATTTGTCATCTGCTGTTCTTACTCCTTATTGCTGAAGTAAGAGACTATCTTTCAGGGCACTTTGCAGGTGACTGGAAGAGTGGTCAAAAAAAGTTTTTCAGTGGCAGGGAACTCACCACAATTGGACAAAATTAGTCAGAGGCCAAATAGCAGCTAGCTAAGAAAGGAGAAGGTCTCATATGTATATAATACTTTCCCCCTACCTACTTCTTTATCCTTGTTGGACAAAGTGGCCATGGAAGGACATTCTGAATGAGGAGGTCTGCAGTGACATACCTCGTAAGTGCCACTGTCCCTAATTAAATGTAACAGGAGTAACTCATTTAAGGTAAAGGTGAGCTATTCACATCTCTTCTATGGTCTCTTTTGATTGGTGTGCAATATGATCCTGAGGACTCTACATAATTTTTCATCACACATGGAAAAATGAATAAAACATGAAAACATGCATTGTAGACATTTAGTGCTAGGAACATGCTTAGATTTAACAATCGTCATTGAATGCAATTTTGCATGTAGCGTCTATGCAAATTTTGGTCACCAACTAATTTGTTTTCTGGTTTATCTTTCTTGTGTTTCAATTTCTAAAAGTAAGTATCTCTTTACATTTATTTCCTAATGGATAGCATACTTGATATCTTTCTTCTATTTCAATTTTTTCTCACTTAAACATTACCTTCTATAAATCCCTCTAAATCAGGTTATAACAATCTTTTCATTACTTTTAGAGCTGCCTGTACAACTCTTTGTATCACATTAAATATTGTAGTTGATAATACCATAAATTATAATATATACCTTTTTATTAACCAGTCTCATATGCTTGTATATTTAAGTGCTTTTGAGTATTTTGCAATTAAAAGTATGCTGTAATGAATAAACTACATATGAATTTTCATTGCTTTGCCTATGAATATATATTAATCTAAATTATAAATAATCAAGAACAAGTAGAGGCTAATATAAATATTTGATGCCAAGAAATATCAAAATAATGAGACTACTTCACCTCAGATCCTCTAAAGTTATTGTCACTATTTTCATGTAACATCTAGAATTATAGTAATTTACTTATATTTTACATGTATAAAAATGAGACAGAATATGATTGTATACTTGTTATAAATCTGAAATCTAAAAATTTCACTATAGTTTTTTTATGTTTAGTGCACTAAATTTATTAATTTGTGTAGCTCATAATGATGTACCAGAAGAAAATCTTATGCTTGAACAAGACACAAAGTCAAAAACGGAAGTGGAAGTAAAGAAACAAAAATCTTTCCAAGATAATCAACTCAATAGTAAGTATAATAATTGTAGATAACCTTAAAATAATTTAAGATTAATTTTTAATTGCCAAGAAAAATTATATACATTCATCGTGTACCACATGGTGTTTTAATATATATAAACATTGTGGAATAACAAAATCAAGCTATTTAACATGTACATTACCTTGTTTTTTGTGTGTTGAGAAGATTTAAAATATCTCAACAATTTTCAATTATGCAATATGTTATTATTAACAGTACTCATGATGTACAGTAGATCTCTTAAACATTTCTCATTTCCAGCTGAAATTTGTGTCCTTTGACCAACATTGCTTCAGTCCTCCCACCATCAGCCTCTTGTAACCAACATTTTACTCTCTGTTCCTATGAGCTTGACTTTTTAAAACTCCACATATAGATAAGATGATACAGTATTTGTTTTAAGTGACTGGCTTACTTTATTTAACATTATGTTCTCCTCGTTCATCCATATTATTACAAATGACAGAATTTACTTCCTTTTTTTAAGGCTCATTTTCCTTTTCTATTGGTCTGTGGCCAGACACTAAGTTTGATTCCGTGTCTTGGCTATTGTGAGTAATGTTACTGTGAACATGGGAGTACAAATATCTCTTTTATATACTGATTTCATATCCTTTGGAGGTATATCCAGAAGTGAAATTGTGGATAATATTGTAGTTGAAATTGTGGATAGTATCTATTTTAAATTATTTGAGGAATCCCTGTGGTGTTTTCCATTATGGCTTTACTAATTTACATTCCTACCAACAGCATACAAGGGTTCCTTTCTCTTCACATCTTTACCAGCACTTATCTTCCATCTTTTTGATAATAGTTACTTTAATGTGTGGGAAGCGGTTTTAATTTGCATGTCCCTGATGATTAGTGATGTTGAACAGTTGTTCATATACCTGTTGGCTATTTGCATGTCTTCATTAGAGAAATGTCTATTCAGATCCCATGCTCATCTTTTATTTGGTTGTTTTCTAACTATTGAGTTGTTTGAGCTGCTTCTGTAAATTGGATCTTAACCGCTTATCAGATTTATGATTTGCAAATGCTTTCTCTCATGCAGTAAGCTATTTCTTCATACTGTTGTTTGCTTTGCTGTGCAGAACTTTTTAGTTTGGTTTAATCCCATTTACTTATTTTTGTTATTATTATCTTTTTCATTACCTTGCTTTTGGGGGCATATCCAAAAAATCTTTGCCCAGATCAACATAATCTAGTGTTTCTCATGTTTTCTTCTAGCAATCCTAGTTTCAGATCCTAAATGTATGTCATTAATCCAATTTGAGTTGATTTTTGTATATAGTGTGAGACGAAGGTATAATTTTATTCTTCTGCATGTGGATATCTAGTTTTTCAACACCATTGTGTATTTTATTCCATTGATCCACGTGTCTGTTTTTATACCAGTACTATGCTGTCTCGTTTGCCGTAGATAAATAATATGTTTTAAAATTAGGATGTACAGTGCCTCCAGCTTTGTTTTTCTTGCTCAAGATTGCTTCGGCTATTCAGGGTCTTTTATGGTTACATATGAATTTTTGGATTTTTTCTATTTATGTCCAAAAATGTTATTGGGATTTTGATAGGGATTAAATTCATAACTGATGGGTATTATAACAATATTAATTCTTCCAATCCAGGAACATGGGATATCTTTTTATTTATTTGTGCTTTCTTAAACTTCTTTTACTAATGTTTTATAATTTTCATTGTAGAACTTTTTTTCCTCCTTGTTTAAGTTTATTCCTAGGAATTTTTTTTTGTAGATACTGTAAATGAGATTTTTTTGACTTCTTTTTCAGACAGTTCATTGTTAGAGTATAGGAACACTACTAATGTTTGTGTGTTGACTTTCTGCCCTGAGAAATTTTTTAATTTAATCGTTTGTTCTAATAGATTTTTGGTGGAGTCTTTAGAGTTTTCTATATATTAGTTTATGTTATCTGACCAAGATAACTTTACTTCCCCCATCCAATCTGAATGCCTTCTGTTTCTTTTTTTTCCCATAATTTATTTGCCTGGGGCTGCCAGTGCTCTGTAGAATAAGCATCCTTGTCTTGTTTCTTATCTTAGAAGAAAAGCTCTCAACTTACTACCATTAAGTATAATGTTAGCTGTGGCTTGTTTGTTGTATATGGCTTTTATTGTGGTGAGGTACAATCCTCCTATACCTAACTGGTTGAAAGTTTGTTTTTGAAATGTTTTTGAATTTTAATGGATGTTTTTTCTGCATCTATTTAGATTATCATGTGGTTTTTGTCCCCCATTCTGTTAATGTGATGCATCACATTTATTGCTTTATGTTGAACCATCCTTGCACCCAGGAGATAAATCCCACTTGATCATGGTGAATTATTCTTTAAATGTGCTATTGAATTTAGTTTGTTAGTATTTTGTTGAGGTTTTCCATGATCATCAGAGATATTGACCTTTAATTGTCTTTTCTTGTAGTGTCCTTGTCTGGCTTTGGTATCAGTAATGCTGGCCTCCTAAAATGAGTTTGGAAGTGATCTCTCTTCTATTTTGTTGAAAAACTTGAGGGGCATTAGCATTAATTCTTCTTAAAACATTGGGTAGAATTTAGCAGTGTATCCATGAGGCCGTAGCTTTTCTTTAATACAATACTTTATATTAGTGATTTAATCTCCTTACTCATTATTGGTTTATTCGCATTTCTCTTCTTCATGATTTAGTCATGGTAGGTTGCATGTATCTAGGAATTATTCATTTCTTCTGGGTTATTGAAATTGGTGGCATATAGTTATTCATAGTAGCCTCTCATGATCTTTTGTATCTCTAGATACAAAAGTATCTAAAAGATAGTTCTTCTTTTATTCCTGATTTTGAGTCTTTTCTCTTTGTTAGTTTCATTAAAGGTTTGTTGATTTTGTTTGTCTTTTCAAAATACCAGCTGTTAGCTTTGTTGATCTATTCTATTTTTTATCCCTTCTATTGTTTTTGTAGTATCTATTTTGTTTATTTCTTCCATGATCTTTATTATTTTCTTCCTTCTATAAACTTTGGGTTTAGTTTGTTCAATTTTCCTTAGTTCCTTGTGGTGTAACATTAGGTTGTTTATTTGGGATCTTTTATTTAATGTGGGCTTTTATTTCTATAAATGGTACAATTGTACAGTGTGTTTGTGTTTTAAGCTGTGTTATTACAAAAGAGTAAAAAAGTAAAAAACATTAAAAAGTTTATTAAATAAAAAAGTTACAGTAAACTCAGGTTAATTTATTATTGAATAAAGAAAATTTATTCAAAATTTAGTGTTACCCAAGTATGCAGTGTTTATTAAGTCTACAGTAGTGCACAGTAATGTCCTAGGCCTTCACATTCACTTAGCACTCACTCACGGACTCACTCAGAGTAACTCTTAGTTCTGCAAGCTACCTTGATAGTAAGTACTCTATACAGACATATCAGTTTTAAAGCCTTTTATACCATATTTGTGCTATGTTTTTCTAATTTTTGTTTAGAGACACACGTATTTACCATTGTATTCAAATTGAATACAGTATTTAGTATAGTAACATACCGTACAGCTTTATAGCATAGGAGCAGTAGACTATATCATATGACTTAGGTGTGTAGTAGGCTAAACCATGTAGGTTTATGTAAGAAACTCTGTGATGTTTATGCAATGATAAAATTGCCTAAGGACACATGTCTCGGGACATATCCCTGTCATTAAGTGACACACATAACTATTTTCTCTAACTTGTCTGATCCTTCTAAAAAATGTTTTGAATTTTTTATGAGGCAGTTCTTACATCTGCATTTCTTTGGGATCAGCTTCAGGAGATTATTGTGGTGTTTTGGTCATGTTGTATCTTTGGTTTTTCATATTTCTTGTTGCTTTACATTGATGTCTGCAAATCTGGTGCAGCAGTCACCTCTTATAGCCTCTTCTGACTAGTTTAGCTGTTGAAAGACCTTCTCCTACAGGAGTTTGAGGACACTTGCTGGGTGGGTTGCTGCAGTTCTGGCACTCATGAGATTGAGAGTTGTGTCACCTTTGTGTAGCTCTGGGAGCTGAGGTTGGTGGTGACAAAGATTTCGAGGATCCTCAGCAGCCAATGCTGTGAATGTTTGCAATTGTGGCAAAAGTTATTGGTGTCTTCAGTGGCAATGACTATTAAAGTTCTTCTGATTTATTTTTCTCTCAGTGGGAAGGGTTTGCTGATAAAATCCCTCTTGGTACTGGGTCTGACTTATCAGCTTGCTTGCATTGGTAGTGGCATGAGTATTTGATGAGTGGTGGCAATGGAGTGGCTACAGAACTGAGATGTGAAACACAGGAATGTGTGGAGGGATCATGGATCTGGGATCCAGGGCAGTAACAGCACTGGTGCCCAGGGCACATGCACCTCTGCTGCCACCTTGGTAACAGAAGGCAAAGTGCAGATTCCTGTGAAATAGCTGGGGAGCTAAGAATGAGAATACTGATATCCACACAGTTTGAGCTGCTCTGGAGTTGGGGCACAGTATAGCTCTCTATGGTGGCTAAACCAGTGCCTGGAGCATGGGTACACACAGTAAATATGTGACTCTGGGATTTGGAGTGCAGACTACCTTGCTGTGACAATGATTCCCAATGTCTGAGATGGGGGTGGGTTCAATGTAGACATAAAACCCAGGTCTGGAATGTGGTTACTTACAGAGTGACTTTGTTTTGGATCAGGGCACACATGGGGTTAGAGGAGGTGGTGACTTCTTTCCCAACAGTGACTCAACAGTGCTGATTCTTGTTTGGAGGAGGAGTGTACAGACACATCACCCTTTCTGGGGTTTCCTGGTGGGGATGGCTCTTGGTTACCTCAGTAGAAAGAAATGGCAGTGTCCTGGGTGGATCAGGCCATTGGGAATCATGGTGGTTCTAGCAGCATGGCTGATGCCCATAGCCTCCTAGCTATCTCCTGGTGTCTAAGATATGCTGACCTCACCAGAGATCCTTTCTACTTGGACATTGTGCTCCACTGTGTTGCTACAGATTG